GCGGGAGCTACCCACAAGAGAAAGAGCTAAAGCGGTCATGAAAGAAAATGAAAGTGCATCATGGAGTGGTACTTTTAAAGTGACTCAGAATAGTACCTCACACGGATGGTGCATTGATTCAGGGGCAACAAGTCACATGACAAGCGACGAGACATTCTTCACAGAAATTGATTTTAGTGTAAAAGATAAAGTCTTCCTAGCAAATGGGAAAAGTATTACAGCGGAAGGTAAAGGTCAAGGATTTCTGAACTGCAAAACGCCATCAGGGGGCAAGCAGAGCATCCTTGTAAAGAATGTTCTATATGTTCCAAGCCTAGAAGGAAGCCTCCTATCAGTTAAAACCCTTGCAAGCAATGGACTCACTGTCCGGTTCAGAGGTAATGAATGCACAATTCAAAATGGGAAGCAAATTCTAACAAGAGGAAGATTAAATGAACATCTGTACAAGCTCATCACTGAAAGTGAGAAGGCTAATGCGGCAACTCATAACCCACATGACAAGTGCATCCACCTGTGGCATAGAAGATTGGGGCATCGAAACCCAGAAGCTATAAAGGACTTTGCAAAGAGAGGTCTATCAGAAGACATGAAAATATTGCCTTGCCACACACTCAGCAAGTGCACGTGTTGCATCAAAGCAAAGGCCACCCGAACCTCTCTTCCACAGACCAGTCAGAGTAAAACCATTAAACCCATGGAACTAATACACAGTGATGTGTGCGGACCAATGAAAACCATCACACCTGGGCGGGAACAGATATTTACTGACTTTCATCGATGATTATTCCAGGTACACAATAACGTATCTAATGAAGCACAAAAGTGAGAGATTAGAAAAACTTCAAGAGTTTGTAGCTATGACAAGCAACAAGTTTCAAAGGAAACCTGGAATAATACGCACTGACAATGGAGGGGAATATATGAATAAAGAGATGGAATCATACCTAAAGAAACAAGGTATTATACACCAAACAACTGTACCATACACTCCTGAGCAAAACGGTGTAGCTGAAAGAAAGAATCGCACTCTTGTAGAAATGACAAGATGTATGATTACGGACTCTGCCTTACCTAACAAATACTGGGGAGAAGCAATAATGACTGCAACATACCTACAAAACAGGCTCCCATCAAAAGCTATTGAGAGTACACCATATGAAATGTGGAATGGATCAAAACCCAACATAGGACATATCAGAGTATTTGGCTGTAAAGCATATGCCCACATTCCAAGTCAGAAACGCTCCAAGTTGGAGAACAAAGCCATAGAAGGCATTCTGGTGGGCTACAGTGAGCAGAGTACGGGATATATAATCCTTTGTCCAAAGACCAACAAGGTCACAGTAAGCCGCAGTGTTTATTTTGATGAAAGTGAAGCATCAGATAATACAATTCTTGAAAAATGTGGAGAGGTTACGCGCTGAATCGGCAAGAGACACTGACCCATGCGAAGCAGGACAAGAGCCAGAACAAGAAGAAGTGGAACTTACAATCAACGAGCCAATAGAACCCACTGAACAACAAGAAATCAGAAGATCCTCACAAATGACAAAAGGGATACCACCCCGCAGGTTATCATACGCTGCTAAAACACATCAAACACAGGAGCCAACATCCTGGGAAGACATAGAAACTTTGCCGAGAAGGGAAGCTGATCACTGGAGAAAAGCAGCTGAAGAAGAAATAAAATCACTTCGAGAAAATAAAACTTGGTCACTAACAGAACTCCCTCCTGGTCGCAAAACCATCGGAAGCAAATGGACTTTTAAAGTGAAATATGATACAGAAGGAAACATCTATAGATACAAAGCAAGATTAGTTGCCAAGGGATACTCCCAGAAATTTGGAGAAGATTACGATGAGACATTTGCTCCAGTTGTGAAACATTCTACCATAAGAACACTCCTTAGTATTGCTGCCGGAAAGGGAATGCAAGTAAAGCATCTAGATGTCAAAACTGCCTTTTTGTATGGAGACATCAAGGAGGATCTGTACATGGAACAGCCACCAGGATTTGAGAAAGAAAAGAACCTTGTTTGCAAACTGCAAAAGAGCATTTATGGGCTCAAGCAAGCAGCTAGAGCATGGAATGAAAAAGTGAACGAAATACTCAGAAAAGAAGGGTTCTCAAAAAGTAAAGCAGATCCATGTCTGTATTCAAAGAATCAAGAGAACAAATGGACATACATTCTAATATACGTCGCTGACATCTTGACGTGTTTTGAACAAGAAGGGGACTATGACCAAATAGTTCACAAACTGAAACAAAATTTTGAAATTAAAGAGTTGGGGAACATTACTCACTACCTAGGAATTCAAATAGAGCGGGAAGAGGATGGAAGCTATCTTCTTAACCAAAGTCAGAATATTACAGAAATGTTAGAACAGTTTTCACATGCAAGATGCAAATGAAGTGAAAACACCAATGGAACCAGACTATCCAAAAACAAGGGAACGTCATTGTTTTCTACAAAAGAGACTAAATGTCATATAATTATGCACATGCCGTTGAGAAGGGGTGTTGGGAATGCAACAGCATGTATTATAATGTACTACAGTTGCAAGAAAAAGTATGTGAACCCCTTGGGATTACGTGGAGTTGTGCATGAATTGGGCATAAAATGTGCTCTGAACGTCATCTAAGTCACAACAATAGAAGAACACAGTCTGCTGAACATAATACTACACAAACATAAGATGTTGCCATGGTTTTAATTGCACATAACATGTAAACATTCACAGTGCAGGGAGGAAAAAGTATGTGAAGCCCTAGCTTAATGACTTCTCCCAGAGCTATTTGGAGCCAGGAGTGAGCCAACCTTGACTCCAATCAGTGTGATGATATTGGATGTGTTGCTGACAGCTGTCCTGCCCTTAAAAAACACACACCTGTTTTGGGTTTATTGGTTTCAAGAAGCACTGTCTGATGTGAACCATGCCTCGCAGAAAAGAGCTCTCAGAAGACCTACGATCAAGAATAGTTGACTTGCATGAAGCTGGAAAGGGTTACAAAAGTATCTCCAAAAGCCTTGATGTTCATGTGTCCACAGTAAGACAGACTGTCTACAAATGGAGAAAGTTTAGCACTGTTGCTACTCTCCCTAGGCGCGGTCGTCCTGTACAAATGACTGCAAGAGCACAGCGCAGAATGCTGCATGAGGTAAAGAAGAATCCCAGAGTGTCAGCTAAAGACCTACAGAAATCTCTGGCACATGCTAACATTTTTGTTGACACATCTACAATAAGGAAAACATTAAACAAGAATGGAGTACATGAGAGGACACCACGGAGGAAGCCATTGCTGTCCAAAAAGAATATTGCAGCATGTTTGAAGTTTGCAAAAGAGCACCTGGATGTTTCCACAGCACTACTGGCAAAATATACTGTGGACAGATGAAACGAAGATTGAGTTGTTTGAGAAGAACACACAACACTATGTGTGGAGAAAAAAAGGGCACAGCACACCAACATCAAAACCTCATCCCCACTGTAAAACATGGCGGAGGGAGCATCATGGTTTGGGGCTGCTTTGCTGCCTCAGGGCCTGGACGGATTGTTGTCATTGAGGGAAAATGAATTCCAGAGTTTATCAAGACATTCTGCAGGAAAACGTACGACCATCTGTCCGCCAACTGAAGCTCCGCAGAGGATGGGTGATGCAACAGGACAATGACCCAAAGCATACAAGTAATTCAACAAAACAATGGCTGCAACAGCACAGAATACGCCTTCTGGAGTGGCCCAGTCAGAGTCCTGACCTCAACCCGATTGAAATGCTGTGGCATGACCTTAAGAGAGCGATTCACACCAGACATCCCAAGAATATTGCTACACTGAAACAGTTTTGTGAAAAAGAGTGGTCCAAAATTACTCCAGATCGTTGTGCAGGTCTGATCTACAACTACAGGAAACATTTGGTTGAGGTTATTGCTGCCAAAGGAGGGTCAACCAGTTATTAAGTCCAAAGGTTCACATACTTTTTCCTCCCTGCACTGTGAATGTTTACATGTTATGTGCAGTTAAACCATGGCAACATCTAATGTTTGTGTAGTATTATGTTCAGCAGACTGTGTTCTTCTATTGTTGTGACTTAGATGACGTTCAGAGCACATTTTATGCCCAATTCATGCAAAACTCCACGTAATCCCAAGGGGTTCACATACTTTTTCTTGCAACTGTATATACAGTATTCTGTGTTAATATCACTTGACCAGTAGATGGCACTATACACTAAAGGTTACTAGATGTGTATATCTGAAAACTTGTTTGTTCCTCTTCTCTATCATCTCTTCAGGAAGTAATGAGTCTGTAATATGTCTGCTGAGAAATGTGCTCTGTATGTTTGCAACTTAAGCCACACAAGTAAAGTCTGAATTCTGCTATCACTACCAGTGTCTTCTCTAACACATAACCAACATGGAGGACATTTTTTTTCACTGACTGTTAGCACCCTCGGCTGCCAACTTTTCTTGGTCCAGTAATTTTGTTGGTCTCCACTGTCCCATAGACACAGAAAACAAGGGTATTTGGTATCCCACCCACTGGATTCTTCAGGAAAGAATAACCCCTTCTACCATTAGAATCACAGACTCAGGGCTGAGGCTTACACATACAGCATGCTGCTGAGTATCCCAGTAGTTAGACATGTCACTCAGAGCAGCACTTGTATTCACCCCCTTTGCAGGGGGGGAGGCGCAGAGATTGTTTACCTGCAAATAACAACAAAGGGCCAGAAGAGAACTAGGGAAATGAGAAAATAGAATTTCTTTCCCCAAAACTTGCTTAGCTTATGTATATATTGCTGACCATCAGATTTACAGTGCTATATTTTTTTTTACATAAGTTGGACAACCTCTTTAAGGTTTTTTGGCATTTTATATCTTAAATGCACTTATGTGAATTAATTACCGTATTTTTCGCTCCATAAGACGCACCTGACCATAAGACGCACCTAGGTTTTAGAGGGGAAAAACAAGAAGAAAAAATATTCTGAACCAATGGACTGCAGACACAGTACAGGGGATGACCAGAGACTGCGGACATAGTACAGGAGATGACCAGAGACAGCGGACATACTACAGGAGATGACCAGAGACTGCGGACACAGTACAGGGGATGACCAGAGACTGCGGACATAGTACAGGAGATGACCAGAGACTGCGGACACAGTACAGGAGATGACCAGAGACTGCGGACACAGTGCAGGAGATGACCAGAGACTGCGGACACAGCACAGGAGATGACCAGAGACTGCGGACACAGCACAGGAGATGACCAGAGACTGCGGACATAGTACAGGAGATGACCAGAGACTGCAGACAGTGCAGGGAATGACCAGAGACTGCGGACACAGTACAGGAGATGACCAGAGACTGCGGACACAGTACAGGAGATGACTAGAGACTGCGGACACAGTACAGGAGATGACTAGAGACTGCGGACACAGTGCAGGGGATGACCAGAGACTGCGGACACAGTGCAGGGGATGACCAGAGACTGCGGACACAGTGCAGGGGTTGACCAGAGACTGCGGACACAGTGCAGGGGATGACCAGAGACTGCAGACACAGTGCAGGGGATGACCAGAGACTGCAGCAGTGCAGGGAATGACCAGAGACTGCAGACAGTGCAGGGAATGACCAGAGACTGCAGACAGTGCAGGGAATGACTAGAGACTGCAGACAGTGCAGGGAATGACCAGAGACTGCTGACCTTTGGGGAGGGAGGGGGAGCGGGTACCTGAATTTGACAGGATACCCACTCCCACTTCTGCGGAGTTGTCCTTCCTTCCTTCTTCCCGGGCCGGCTTCTGTGACAGCCGGTGCCCACTGCACATGCGCGAGAAGCGCTGCGCTTTGTGAATGGCCTGGCGCCTTCTGGGACCTGTCATGTGTCCCAGAAGACACCGGATCATTCACAAAGCACAGCACATGCGAAGTGGGCACCCGGCTGTCACAGAAATCAGCGCGGGAAGACTGTGCAGCGCTGGAGCGAGGAACAGGTAAGGCCCTGCAGGAGAGAACAGCTGAGCGGCCGGCCCGGTATTCTGACATGGTGGCGGCAGAAATACCGGACCGGCTGCTTTATATTCGCTCCATAAGACGCACTGACATTTTCCCCCCTTTTTTGGGGGAAAAAAGTGCGTCTTATGGAGCGAAAAATACGGTAATAGTAATTTGGACTTTAAATTTGGTTAAAAACCCATAATATAAAAACAATACCAAAAATAATTTTTTTTTATAAATTTGAAGACAATTTTGCATTTTGTGGCAAATCATGACGTCTAGGAGTTTTTTCAATATTTTATTTGTTTTCAGCACACCAAAATACATGGAAATTAGATGAAAATAATCAAACAGCTTTTTAGTCGCAGACCTGTGATATCGTTTTTCTTCAAAATTTTTGGTCTTTTTTTTGTTTAAAGGTGCAAAATAAAAAGCGCACAGGTGATCAAATACCACCGAAAGAAAGCTCCCAGCTCTATTTGTGTGAAAAAAAGGACATAAATTTAGTTTGGGTGCAGCATTGCATGACTGCGCAATTATCAGTTGAATTAGTGCAGCGCCGAGTAGCAAAAAGAGGCCTGGTCATTAACCTCCCTGGCGGTATTCCCGAGTGTAGCTCGGGGTAGAGTTTCAGTACCAAAAGCGGTAACCCGAGCTACACTCGGGCTTACCGTGCAGCGCTTACCTTGTCCTTCGCTCCCGCGATGCGTCCCCTGCAGCGTCCCCGGCCATCTCCTCCGGCCGATGCCGGCATCCGGCTTCCGTGTTCTGGTCCCTGTGACTTCAGGACGTACGGGCGCCTGAATCGGCGGCAAATTTGAAATTTTTAAAAAAATTTCATTTTTTAAAAAATGATTGTTACATAGTAAAACATTGCTGTTTCAAAACATTTCACATACATTTTGTCCCTACTGCTTTGTCCTGTCCCCTGCCTGCATTTTGACTGTTCTTTCTGCCTGGAAACTTAGAAAAGTCCATGGCGTCCAAAAAGCGTCCCTTTATGTTAAAGGCGGTTTTAGACCGGCTAGAGAACAGCGATAGGAAATCAGAAGCACTTGCAGAATTGAGTGATAATGATTCGTGGGGAAATTTGCCATCAGACACTGAAAACCATTCTGCAACTTTGCTCAGCGATGTGCGAACTTGACGCTCTATTTCACATTTCAGTGTTTTTGGTTTGAATATATTATTTAATTAAATTTATTATTATTATATTATTATTTGTTATGATTATTTATTAAATTATAATTTATGATTTTGTGTTTCAAGTTTTATCATACCCGGAATGTTTACTAGACTCTTGTTCGGACAGATTTCAGTGAGTTATTCCTAAATTACAGGCCTACAATAAAAAAAAAATACATATTTCCATGCAAAAAAATGGTACCACATTCAGCACCAAAAATCTGAAATAATCATACCGCCAGGGAGGTTAAGGGGGGTAAATCCTCAGGAGGGCAAGTAGTTAAGCTCTGGGGAAAATGAGTGCAACTACACTTGCAAAGTGCACAGTATTTGCCGTTAGTAAATTCACCCCATCAGGGCAAAGTTACTGAGATTGAAGCAAACAGAATCTGGAGCCACATGGCAGCCAAACAGCTTTTAACTTTTGTTTTCAAAGCTTAAAGTATTACTAAACCCAGGACCCTGCATTCACTGTATCTGGTCTCACACAGTACACAAAACATGGAAATGCAGTTATTTTAGTAAATATAAACTTCTAAATACCTTTTCTCAGCAGCATATAGCAATCTTGTGACTTCTATCAGTGTCCAGCAGAGCACTGGTTACAGCTTGTAGGAAGAGTTTTCATTCTCCTCTCACTGTCCTATGAGGCTGCTGATTGACTCTGCGCTGATCACATACACCCTCTCGAGAAAAAGAAAAAACTCTTTAGCAAAATACACAGAGCATGTGCAGCATGCCCCCAAGGCTTTGATCTATCAGCAGATGAATTGGGAACAATAGAAGAAGGGGAGGATCAGAGAAGACAGGATCAAATATCCTTTTTACAGAATGCAGAGGATTAACCCCTTAAGTTCCACAGTGAGTATAACAAGTATGCTTTACTGCATATACAGACTGATTTTACTGTTGTGGGTTTAGGAACACTTTTAGAGCACTATGTGTAATTTCTCTCTGTTGCTTTGTTCCTCTGCTATAAGCATGATTCACTTCTGGCAAGGTTTCTTGACACCAAGAGAAAAATGTTGATGGGAGGGACCTTCAGCAGGTTGACAGCCTGAGCTCTGTTACTGTAAGCTCAGTGGAGGGGGTGTGTCTCTTCTCTCCAATCCGCTCTCAGAATTCTCGTCACTGAGCTCTGCAGAGTATAAACTGAGCTCTCTGCTCCTTTTTTCTGAACTCTTAGACAAGCTTTTAAAATTTAGCACTTTGAACAGATAAAGAGAAGACTGAAGATAGACAGTCACAACTGCTGTGGGTTTAGTAACACTTTAACTGGACAAGCTGAAGATGGAAGTTGATTGGTTACTATGCAGGGCTGCTCCAGATTCTGTCTGCTGTAGTTTTAGTAAATTCCCTCCAAAGTTCTCCTCTGTTAAATGATGGAAGTCTTCTGCCCTAGACCAGATAATGGCAATTCTAAGGAATGGGTGGCTGCCATTTCTAAGTAAATGCATGTCTCCGATTATTGTATACTCCGATACTGCAAAATTTTTACACAATGGTCTATGGAGAATAATTTTCCTTCTTTATGCAGAGAGAAAGTCAATTGTCTTTTTAATTTGGAGTTGTGCTTTGGTGTACCAGAATTTTATAGGCATTCTGAAATTGTTGCCATACATTCAGGGGGTTGCAACAGTTGCAACAGTCTGATGCAATATTTGGATCTTCTTATTTTCCTTGCCATGTTCCTTCCATATTTCATACACAAGAACATTTTGATGCGGTTGCTTAACAACTACAGATGGTTTGGCTTGGTTTGGCAGCAGATGCCTCAGCCTGGTGTGTCATTTATAGGGTGTGAAGTGGATTGCGTAGTCACAATGAGCGAGCTTAGTGAACCAGCATTATTCCAATATCAGAATTGTAACTGTGTTCAAACAGAACACAGATTATTGTTCATATAATTTGAACCATGTTTCTTTTAAGGCTCTGAAATTTAGCCATCTAGAAAATGTCATCTCCCAATGTCATTCCCATGTTAAAGTAAAACCCAGTAAACAGTAAAATCAGTCTGTATATGCAGTAAAGTATGCTTGTTATACTCACTGTGGAACCTAAGGGGTTAATCCTCTGCATTATGTAAAAAGGTTGTGTGATCCTGTCTTCTCTGATCCTTCCCTTCTTCCACATTCCCCAATCCATCTGCTGATAGTACAGAGCTCTAGGCAGTCACTGATAGAACAGAGCCTTGGAGGCAGGCTGCATATGCTCAGTTTAGTGTATATTGCTAGAGAGGTTTTTTTTTTTTGTCTTTTGGGAAGGTGCATGTGATCAGCACAGGGCCAATCAGCACTGGCCAGACAGAGGGTCAGGTATGCAGCCTCACAGGACAGTCAGAGGCGAATGAAAAACACCTCCTACAAGCTTTAACTAGTGCCCTGGCGGACATTGATAGAAGTCACAAGATTGCTAAATGCTACTGATGAGAAAAGGTATTGAGCAGTTTATATTTACTACAATTATTGCATTTCCATGTTGTGTGTACTGTGGGAGACCAGATATAGAGAATGCAGGGCCCTTGGTTTAGTAACACTTTAAATGCCTTTTATTGACTTAAACTTTTGTTCAAGAAGTAGCTCCTGCCAACCTTTCTGGTTACAGAGTTGTAATATAGGCAATGGTCTGGAGGATGAATTCAGGGTAATAATCTTCTCCCACATAGAAATGTCCATTACATGCTAAATTTAAAGTATATTTAAAGTCAGACCTTTTTTATAGTTTTTGATAGTAGTTAAAATTCTTGTTTTTGTTTTTTTTTGTCCTGCCTGTGCTAAATTGAATGAATTTCCCTTAACCTTCTGCTCTAGACACAGCAAGAAGTGATAGTAAAACCTCTTTAAAGTTAGAGAAAATCTCTGGTGTCCCTGTTAAAAGATTTCTGTCCATCTCTTCTGGTGATATCTGTAAAATGTTGTATTTCTCCTCATGGTCTGATGTGAATGTACAATATACTGTATATATGTAAAGTGCTGCATAAATTGAAGGTGCTATATAAGTACCTGACATAAATAAATAAAATAAATTAAATAATTGTCTGTCCTAATGAAAAAGGTCAACAGGACCAACAGACGGCAATAAAAACCTCCAAAACAAAAATCAAACAGAAGGAGCACCGGACCAACTACCAGAAGAGTCCAAATTCCTTTAAAAGTTCACA